GATAGCTCTGTATCGTGATGGGTGGTCGACTCAGTCCGTGGAAGACGGAAACGCTCTGTGACTGAGTTGTGACTCGCCCGGTGAGATCGTTTGACTCGGAAACTCGTTCTAGCAACGAGGATAAGAAGGCGATTAGCTTCGGCATTACTCCTGGATTCTCAAGCTCAGCCATTTTTTTGTGTGTGTATGAGAGAATAAAAGAAAGTAACTTTCTTTCTTCTGTGCTCTGTTCTGTTTTTGATGGCGTGTGTTTAAGGTGGTCGTTATATTAGGTAGATATTTTATTTTTCTATTTCTATTTTATTTAATAAGTAAGTATTCTCTGTTTTTTTTTTTTTTTTTTTTTAAATGTGATCAGTTCGTATGTGCATTTTAAAAAATTATCTAATTGGTTTTGAGTCTTTTTTTTAGCAAACTTTAGTTTTGAGTCATTAACTCTTTTTATATCACCGTCGGCAGTGGGACAGCCAAAATATATAAATAAACAACTTATTTGAATATGAAACTTTAAAAGGAAATGGTGCTTTTTTTTTTTGATAACCCAGTATCCGACCACAAAGCGTGATCGACTAGCCCACCGGGCCTAAGCCCATGCCATGATAGGATTTTTAAGCGTCCACTTAAGGGCCCCTGGTTACGGTAAGTGGTCTGGAGCGCCACACCAGCTCCGCATGTAAATTATGTGGTGGCCGGGGTTCGAAGTCGGGTGGCGGGCACCTCAGCCGAGGTTCCTTTACCACCAGGCTACGAAGCCCGGTTAAATGGTGCTTTTTTATGTCATAAGTTGATTATTGAATTTGAAACTTAAGTTGTAACAAGAAAGAAAACACAATTAATGCATTAAACCACCATATATCAAATCCAGGCAGGAAAAACGTAGTGTACGCAATTATGAAAATATTGATGTGATTTGGGAAAAATTATACAACTGAGCGTAATTTTCGGTTTGTAATGTGGAGATGGGATCCCATACTCATCATGTTACATGGACATGTGAGGGGATTTGTTCAAACTAGAAAGTCACGACGATAGTGATATAACGAAATGCATGTGTTGCTAATAATGCGAATATGCGAATCAATTCCTATCTGGTAACATTTCTTTATACCCCAAATTAATTAGGATTGTTAGATAAATATAGATATTGAATAGGTTATAGATTCATCTAAATCTAACAACCAAGATTGACAGCTAATTTGGACGCACTTAGGCAAAGTTCTTAGACAAGCAAATCCAAAAGTTATAAAGCGTAATATATGAAGAGATTTCACGTTAACAAAAAAATCACTTTATTCGTTAAAACAAAAGATTTTAACTTTACAGGATGATATGTTGTGTGACCATCGCCTTTTTTAGAACGTTTCAAATAATCCATTTGCATTACTAGCTACATTCAAACTGATGCCAGTTTGTTAGCTCGTTACAATATAGATTTATAGTATAGTTCATAGTTACACTCAAACAGTCAAACTGATGCATTTGTCTGTAATTTATCTTCCAAATAACAATATGGTATCGTTCCTAGCTACATTCATTAACGACAAGCTGCAAGTAGACAACATGTGATTAACTAATGTATACACAGGGTTATGCGTATATTAGGTGGCACTGTTTTATGTTATGGCATTTCGTTTTTCCTATGAAGCGAGTACTGGTCGTATACATGATTGGTACCTGAAGGCTGAAGTTACAAGAAACAATAACAATCAACTTAACATGACAGCTAGGTTAGATTCTAACTGATTGGTATTGGGGTGATGAAAAAGTAAGGTATGTCTCATGAGAGGAACTTAGAATAAACATATATTTTAGACATACTATATCGATATGATTTATATTGCAATATGATAGTATATAGTATTATGGAGCATTTGGGGATAATCAATATTCAATAACTGCGCAACGTGTATCTCTGTTCTGGTATCTTTTTCGTAGCCAATTTCCATGTGCTGCTCCATGTGAGTATGTGACCCTCTCTCTACCCTTCAGGTACTCCTTTTTTCTAGTGATATTTTTCACATAGTGGTAGTGCTTTTTTTTTTTTCGACATCAGTGGTAGTGCTTTATACAAGGGAAAGTAACACTATAATTCAACTGAAGTTTCATACGGTACCGTTTTACAGAGATCTTCATAAAAACGATGTAGTTGTGGGTTACAACCGGGGGGGGGGGATTTAAGAGCAAAACGAAAATTGTTGTCTTGCCGAAGAATTGTTAGCAGCTCTTTACCTTATAAAATCCAAATTTCAAATAAAATATTGAAACGTTAGGCCATGAATAAACACATATATACCGTATATAATAATATTGAAATTGAAATGAAGATAAACACATGCCTAGACTACAAGTCCAGTTATAGAGAAAACTATTGTAATGTTGATCCGAGAGAAAAATAAATTTCACAATAATGTTGAAATGAAGTTATATTAGACAAATCTAGACATCAGATCATCAATCTTTCTTTTTGTCCCTCAAGGTTCTATGCATGATGCCATGATGGCTATTGGTAGAGGGAATCAATACCCTATAATAATTTTTTTGCTAAAACCCAAAAGAACAAAAAAAAACTATGTTTTTTGATCTTCACTTCAGAAAAGTTTATTATTCCGTTAAGATAACAATGTCATAATGAATTGAAAGTGTTTCAAAAAAAAAGTCATTACCAATTTCGTGTAATAAGAGGTGGACCAATAAATGTGTAAAAAGTGACGGATGAATCAGAGCATAAAATAGGTGGGTTACTCAGTATTTCACACTCCACTTGTGTCAGGCACACATTCTAAGCAGCTAGTCACATGCCCTGACTCAGTTTTAATGAGTTCATCGTTCGCCATTATAGCTTTTCTACATCTATAAATATAGCAATTAACCATCTCAATGTGTTATATCAAACCTAGTTATATATTCCTGTAGACTTCTTTTCAACCAGTTTTCATTAAGTAGAGTGAGTAAAAGAGAATGTCTGCAACAACAGAATTTGACTTGGTTCTCCATTGGAATAGTCACACTGCATTTGCAATATCTTTCAAGAACGAAGGTGATGATGACGATGATGTAGTCTATGATTACGCTCCGGCTGCATGAGTCAATCATCTATAGTTATAAATTTTCATCATTATAGGAAGAGAAAAGCTTTTCTTGCTACTAGATATAACCCTAATTAACAATATACGTGATATGTAATATATGTACCATATATGTATTTGTAGACTTTGAGCTAGTTTGAGCTGGGTTTGCTCGAGTGTTGTTACTACTTAATACATTTATAATAAACTATTGAACTCTTTTATATACTTTACGGATCTACTTATCCCGAGCTTGAGCTCGCCAGGTCTGGCGGTCTGTGTAGATCTAAAGCGCCTCCCAGATCTACTATTGCCTACCTTCTCATATCCATCGTGTTGACTCCTTCAACACTCTCAAGTAGATATTCTTCCAGATCCAAGCCGGGTCCGCAGCAACAACGAAACTTTCAGGGGCTCTGGTGTACACCGACGAGTCCAACCGGACGTGGTGGATTAGTTCCGTCACTGTTTGCTGGAGTTTTTATACGGTAAACACCCGATGCTCTGTTAACGTCACCCAACAAAGACTCAAGCACGTTCAGTTCATTTGGTCTTGTGGATTGTTTGGTCAGATGTATTTTGGTAATACCTTATTGGTCCCGACACGGTAATGTCGAGGTCCGAAGTGTAAGACTGAGTTCAATGTCCATTCCGCCACAAAAGTCCATTAGTTTCAGAGCCTCTACGAAGATGTCTCTTTTCTCAGATTGTTCAACCGTTATGACCAGGGTTCACCTAGCCCAAAGCAGTGATGTTGTGTTTAAGTTTGAGATTATATTTGTTCAGCCATCACATGTCAGTAAAGTGTGTAGTTGCTATGTTATTGTAACTAGCATTATCCGGTTGCATGGTACATCTATTTTGTTCGTCAGCGCCAAATCCAAGATCCTTTTACTCTCCTTACCAATTGAGATTCACCTAGTCTCTTTGGGGAGTTTCGTCGGAGCTAGAGCTGTTCTTGCTCGTTCCGCTTCCTTCCATGCTTTGCTGGTTGGTTTAATCAACGTCGATTCCGACTATCTCAAGCTCGTGGTAGTAACCTTCTCAGGAGTCCATCTGATGATTTCCCATGGTTTTCCGATTGTCGAGCAAGTATCTCTTACTCATCTTTGTTATCTCTTGTCTGGTTGTTTTAATGTTTGTTGTTCATCAAACTGTTGAGGAACCCTCCGGTTATTATCTTGTTACCGTCGAGCTTGCTCTGGATGTAATAGTTTAAACTCTTTAGATTTAATATAATCGTTTGTTGTTCAAAAAAAAAACTTTACGGCTCATATTTAAAATCCGCCCTAACAGTTCCTTGAAGTTGAAACGTGGATAGTACTCTCACAGACGTATTTGAAAATCTTACATGTCGCCTGTCGTACACTAATCAGTTGATTCTAGAAGTAACTTAAATTTCTATGCATCAGAATTCGTGATCAAAATCAACATCCCCCCACGGTATGATATGTTTCTAGTCTAGAATTAGAAACGGAGATAAAACTAATGTTTTCGTTAAAAAAAAAAATCAAATTGTGAAGCTAATATATATGGGGTCTAAAAATTACAAGCTATTAATTCACATGATCAATATACAAACTTTAAACTGATATTTCATTTGTGTTTTGTTTTTCCAAGACTAGTTTGGTTTGTTCACAACATCAACTAATTCACCCCTTCACTTTTCTTATCAAGAAAAAGATCTTTCACCTATATCTCTTGATATGTTCTTCATCCAGTAAGTATATTTTGCTTCATAATCACTTTACCAAATATGATCTTATATCACGTCACCTGATCAGCCTCAAACCTAATATATTGAGAGTATATAAGTGTCTATTACAAACGAAAATTCAAGAATATATATAAAACATCTGATGACAAGAACATTTAGAGTACATATCACACATCTATGTGCATATATATATGTCTATATATAAGTAAAGAAAGAGATTAGAAGGAAGTGAGACAATGATCATGGTCAGGAGAAGTGGACTCATCAGAGGGAATGTGGTTGTGACGACCTTCGTAAGTAGTAATCACCATTCTACAATCTTCCGACAGCCTCTCCACCCTCTTCTTCACCTTACAGTTGTTGTGTGTGCATCTGTAATAACTCCTGTATATACATCCACATTTTATTATTCATTTATTAATATATTAAATATTATTAACCACAATTTAATTAGATCCAGTTGATGTACTAAAATAATACTAGTAATTAACAAAACAAACATTAGAACTTCTGAATGTCACGAGCCTTATAATGTGCTAACAAAAATAGTTGGAAACATGTGTAGATATTGCACAATAAAAAGAGATAAAAACAGAAATGTTGTTTGTATTCTTAATGATGACAACCTATAGCTACTAAATTTGCAACAAATATATTTTTTGAATAAATATATATAAAGTTATATTTAAATCAAAACCTCTTTATAATATAGAGATGTAACATTGTTTTAAAAAATTGTTACAAAAATATATTGTAAACGTATACATATGTATAAGGATGTATATATAAGCAGTCATGTCTAGTACTCGAGCTAAGGTTCGGCAACAGTCTAAAGAGAGAATATTATGGATACATCTAAATTTAGTTCTTAGCTACCCCAGCTTTTACGAAACTATCAATCACCAGTCCATGTGATTATACGAGAATCATTAAGCACATGTTATCGGAAGTTTTAGTAATGTTAATTTAACTAATGGATAGGGTTCATATAATCAGTCACATTACTATGGTTGTTTTAATGAGTTAATTACCTGGGGTGAAGGCTGTTCTTGACGACTTTCTGACCATATTTACGCCATTTGTAACCATCATCGAGAACGTCCACATCGCTTTTCGTCTGGAAACAGAACCTTGGTTCTCTTAGTTTCCTCCGTATCTTCACTTTGTTTTTCATCTCTCCACTCTCACTACTTGATCTCCACCTGAAAATGCAACCACTCTATAATGTATTACAAACATTATTTATACCTTAGGTTTAATCTTTGTATATAGTCTATTGTTGGATCTCAAAAATAATCAACGGAAACCTATAAAAGTAATAAGAAAAGACTGAATAAAGAGGATCAATTTAGTAATTTACTGAAGAAATTAAAGGCAATATTAGTAGATTTTTTTAAGTTAGCTATTAGCTTATGGTAAAGAAGAAGAAAGGAATAGATTCATCTAATCATCTTCGAATTTGAATGAGCTAAATTACCAAGAACTAGAATGCATATCATTGTTAAATCCACCCCTAATGTTGTCCTGATCATCATTAACCATCTTTGCTTCCAAAGGTCCTCCACCCTACAAAACACACATATATAAACCCTCCAAATTAAGATCAATAAATACTTAAACCACGGAAAAGAAAATAAATCACGCATATAGCTAGACCTGAAGATTACTAGAAAACCCTAGAGGTGCATGAGTATTATTAGTAGTAGAAGAAGAGTTGTAGATGGGGAAAGAAGGAGAGGAAGAAGAAGAAGAGAAGAAGGTTAAGACATTAGTTTCTTCAAATGGAACGAGGAAGTTCATATTCTCTTGGATCGTCGTCGACGACGAAGTCACTTGTTGTAGATCGTAATTATTGAGTACTACTCTTCTTTCTTCTTCTCCTCCTCCTACTTCCATTTGATTTAATCCCAATCTCCCTTTTTATTGAGTGTATTAGTTTTTAAATAGTGTATCACACTAATTATAATTTTATCTATATTTTATATTAATAAAAGTTATAAAATGTTACTTTGACGGTTTTTCTTCTCTTGCTTTCATACATAGATCGAGGTAGGGTTTCGTGTGTATACGTCCATCATTTGAACTATTCGTGTCTTTAGGCAGTCAAGCTTCATGTGAAGTGTTTATAAAATCATATCCCGAACACAACAAAAAAATATTCTGATATATACCCCAATATATATAAGTTTCTCAATTTATTTTGGTGGAATATAATGTTTAATGTAATTTTCTTTCAGCGATACCTTTTTTGGTTTGCGCCGGTTGTATAATAAGTTGATAATGATCAATGTGTTGAATTTTATCTTCCTTTCAACTTAATTAGACAATTAACTACTTTGCTTTCATTTATTTAAGCAAGTAATATGCATCATTATTTGAATCTAAGCATCCCATAATGAGGCCAGACAAGGGTTTGGAGATTAGACTGATCATTGTTAAACAGCTTTCCGAAGCAATCCAAGGAATCAAAACAATAAGAAATTAATTGAAGTAAAGATTTATCTTAATATAAAAGAAATTTGAAGATTTTCCTTTCACATGACAATAGAAAGCTTATAGAGGGGAGAAGGGAGATAGAAGAGTCAAGGAGGTAATTGAGTGTGGTGGAGGTACATCAAAGCTTCCATCCATATCTCAAGATGTGTCCTAAAGCTGATGATGGAAACGACACCCAGAAAAGTTACCTCTTCCCAAATCATGTCGAATCCACTTTCATAAATTTTGTTCTGTAAATGATTCCGTTGATTTCTTTCTTGGTTGAATATGATATAAAGAAACTAACCTAAGCTGATTAGCGTCGCTTTTTATGTTAACTTCAGTTATTGAAAATTGAGACTAGAAAAATGCATATAGTGTTATAAAACAGTTAGATGTTATCAATAATATGGAAATTTTGAAAAATGTAAAAAATTCCAAGAGTAAAGAACATAATGATAGATAAACTTATACGAAGTTCTTGAAGACTTCTTTATGCTTAGTCTTGTTTATTTGTTTGCCAAGGCTGACTTAACTTAGTTTCAAACTTTTGTATCATTACAAACTCTTTTCAATTTAAATATGAAATTCATATTTTGACAAAAAAAAAAGTTCTTAAATTTAGTTTTTCAAAACAAGTTACCAATTTAAAGTAGTGTAGCTATTACCGAAGAAAATAGTTAGGCAGTACTGATCCAGTATTTTTTTAATTGATGCTATAAATTTATTTAAAACTTTATGTTCTTATTATTTATAATTTTTTTAATGCTCTATATACAGTTAAAATTTGTGTTCGAAATTATGATGTCTTAAACGGTCGGTCACCTTACCTATCTTCCTGACCGACCCTGTAGTTAGGTGTTAATCAGATAATATAAATGTCTAAATAGTCATCGCTCTTCTCTTTATGATTATATATCTAGAGGATTCATGTAACATATACTACTCAGTTGATTATAATTGACAGGTTGTTTAAATTCGACTTATTCATTTTGCACATAACCAAGTTTAATCATGTTAACAGAAACCAAGTTTAATCATATTAACAGAAACGTGGAATGTTAAACGACTGCTTTCAAAATATATCGTATATAGTAAAACACAAGTGGTGTACTTTTATATCATCGTGAATTTGATAACTACAGACAACAACACACAAAACACCTAAGGAAAAGAGCAGGCCAACTTCCTCCACAATAGCAACACAACGCAACAACGACTAATAAAAAGCATATAATTTAACAACAACGGCATTATCATAAAATATGATTGAGGTGGATTAACCTAAGTTTCATATTTACTTTACCGGTCCAATCATCTCCGTAATTAACTATCTACTTAATGAAAAACACCTGCTTAAATAGCTATTAAAGGCTCAGTTCTAAAAATCGGCCGCCTAAGCACTTAGGCGTTAGGCGACCCTCTTCCACCTCGATTTATGCTAAATCGCCGTAGAAAATCGGTCATCTGATTTTAACCCACCTAGCCGTCTAGGCGGCCGCCTAATCCATTTTTTTATTTTTTTATTTTTTAATAATATTTTTTATCTATTTATTTGTTTTAAAATTTAATAAATTATAATTTTGATGAAATTATATCATATTAACTTTGTATATTCTATTTGTGTGTGTTTATAAGATTCTAAATGTATTAATGTTATACACAATAAAAGATTAATATATCTTATAACATACCAAATAGTCTAAAAATTATGCGCCGTATAATTCTCATTTAATCTCCGATTTTCTCTCTAGGTGTTAGGCCCAATCGAACCGTCCGATTAGTGCCTAGCGCATTCTCGAACATGGATTAAAGAAACTATAGTACCATTAGTTTGTTTACTCATTTTATTCATACCGACACCAAGACAAATATACAACCATAAACATGACCACAAGCTAATTAAGGTTCATAACTTTTAGTACTATTATTAATGTTAATATTTTCAAATTATGTGTTTTAGGTACAAACAAATTCATATATAAGTAACATCTAAAGAAAAAATAAAGCACTTCATATGAACGAACATTTTAGTTTTTTTATCAAAAGTATTTACAACTCTATATACAACATGTTCTCATCATATAGCAAATGCAAACGTTTAAATTTTGCAAATGGCTTAGTAAAAAATTCTTTTTGGCTTAGTAAAAAATTCTTTTTGGCTTAGTAAAAACTTAATATTTATATCTTTTTTATGTTTACTTAAACATACCTTATGATATACATGTAAATATTTACGTTTTAAGAAACAAATTAGTGAATTACGATGCAAAATAAAGGACATTAATGTATTAACGGTCATAGATTGAGCAAAGAGACAAAGAGAGGAGTATTAAAATTAAAGGTTATATAACAGGGGATGAATTCCATGCAACAATGATTACACGTTCCAATCAAATCCGTAAGGAATTTCCAAATTCAATGATGGTGAGATTTCTTAAGGCATCTCTCTTTAGTTTTTCTTTTTCTTCTTCCTCTCTTGTTATTGTAGTAGGTGCCCACTTTGTCTCCTCCCTCCAATTTCAGCCTTTCTTTTTCTCTTCTTTTGTTTCCTCTTTTCTACTTCTTTCAAATTCGAATGAATATATATCATAACCCAACAATAATTATCTAAGTTGTTGTACATATTCACAAACTCTTCTATCCATTCTCATGGTATATACAGTTTTATGATATTAGTTTCTAACTTCGTGCTTATAAACGGACTAGAATAAAGAACACACGAAAGTGTTTACGAAAAAAATTATATTGAACTTTCATAAAAAATACAATATGTTTCTAGTGAATGAACTTAATTTCTTGAACTAATATAAATGCTATTAAAGAATGTTATATTTCACACTTTAAATAATTTTCTTGATTTTAATAGATCCTCGTAATTATCCTTGATATTTTTATATATAGTCGATCTTCTCTCAATCTCTTAGTAAGTTATTTTTTGGTAAAAATCTCTTAGTAAGTTCAAAAGACATATTATCAAAATACACACAAACGTAACCCTTTCTTACCACTCTTAAATACTCATCACAGTAATCTCCAGCAGTGAAAGATACAATAAGTGTGGGCTCCAAACAGTTTTGATCATTCCTTGTACTGTGGATACAACAGTGGATAACCTTATAATTCTTCATATGGTAGATATAATATGCGGATTCACACAATACACGACAAAAGAAGAGACTAAAAATGTCCTCAGAATGCATAAAACGAATATCTTTTTTCTGAATTGGTCCAAAATATGTCCCATATGGGATTAATAAACCCTAAACCCACTTACACTACAGGCCCAGTTAGGCTATCAAGCAATATCCATGGAAGAGTACGATGATTCACATTGATCAAAGACATTTTATAATAGCTTTTACCAAACAACAGCTACGGTTACTTACATGAACTAAACTACTAAAAATTAAACATCAACACGACACAGAGGAAAAACAAGAGATAACACAAAGAGTTCTTCAGTCCATCGTCTCTTCACTTCAGATTTGTATCTGACCTTTCTAAGACTCCCATCTAAACCATAATCTCTCTTTATCACAAGATTGATCCCTTCATCAAAATATACCATCCAATTCCAACGCACAAGACTCCATCTTTCTTGACATCCACGTAAGCTGCCACACCACCTTGGAGCTACATTACAGACACATCTTTCACTGCTTTGACCTGACAGTCCCATTTCTTCGGATATTTTCCATAATTTTGTGAGTTCTGATGGTGATTGCAAATTGAAGGGAGTAGAAGATTATTGTGAAACCAAACGCATATAATTGAAGCTTTTCCAGAGATGGAGAGATGGCGCTTCTTCGAGAGAATCATATGACGGATGATGAGAGAACGCATTGCGAAGAAGTCATGATACATATTCTATATGATAATTAAATAGGCCGTTGTTACAATTGGTAGGCACATAATGCCTCGGTTACTTGTCAGGGCCGGCTCTCAGAATTATGAGGCCTAAGGCGATTTTTGAACGATTTCACCAAAAATTTTTTTTTTTCGGAATTGGGGGCCTAAAAATTTTTTTTGGGGGCATGTATACATATAAACTTTTTAAAAAACATTTGGGGGCCAACGCCAATTTTTCATCCGGCTTTGCCCAACGCCGGCCCTGCAAGTAAGTCCAAAGTGTGATTCTATGGGAGATGATGATAAAATGGGCATTTTATACAAGTTTAGGCCTATAATATTCAACATTAGCCTGAATTAGTCTTTTTTTTTTTTGGAACACAAACTTTGAATTAACTTAAAGAGTTTAGAGTGGTTCACTCAATACATGGCATAAAGCCTGCTTTGCTAAATGATCAGCCTCAGAGTTTTTACCTCGAGGGATCCAACAAAAGGACGAGAAATCAAGATGTAGACAAGAAATTCGAATGTCAGCCACAATGCCATAAAGTTCAGGCGGTTCCACCGTA